CTGACAGAGCTGCAGCAGTTAGCAGGTTTCACCCTCAGAGACCACCAGGGGTTCATGTTGAGGAATTTTAATTTTTTTCTTTTTTGTGCCATAGACACTGTCAGCACAATCTGCAGTTACACTAACAAAAATGCTGCAAAAAACAAAGAATTATGGAAAAATTACACATGGACTGACATAGAGGAGGATCTACACAAGTTTTTTACATCATGTTTTACATCATGCATCATTTACATCATGTTTTTTTGTAGTGGCATAAATAAAAAGTGACATTTGTGAGACTATACAGTGTTTTGTAAATAATTTTACAAAGAACGCCCTGTAAATAGGCCACTATGCCTGCATATGTTTTGATGTACAAATGAAGAGGTAAATCATTTATGTTCTTTGTTAAAAATTTGCATCATGTTTAGCTCCAAGGTGAAGTTTACAATTTTTATTTGAAGTTTAAGTTTTAAAAACATGTTCATCACACCTATTTGTGGTTTTCACAGTAAAAATGTTACTTTTTTCCACTCGGATTTTATGTTTTGTGTGTGAATTTGGGTCCATTGTGTAAATTCAGTATGTCAACATGATAAAATAACTGTAAATTCGCACAGGTGAGGTTGTGCTGAAAAAAATGATACCAGGCAAGGCACGTGATTGTCAAATTTTGTGTCAATATGACAAAGCGTATAGGCGTGAATCTCAACAATATGTATTTTCACCTTAGGGGACAAGAAAAAATGGACTTTTTTCTCCTGCCATGGGGGGGCGCTCTTTTGGGGAGTAAAAATTCCTTCACAAATGTGTTGATGGCTGGACATTGCATCATCCTAGAAAACTTGGAGGCCAGTGAGGACAAAAATAAAAAGTTATAAGACTTTTAAATATGTGGATTTTAGGGTTGTCTTTGGCGCCCCCTAGAACCTAAACCGTGGGGTGCAGCGTCATGATTTTGATAACTTTTAATGGCCATGGGGTGTAGATTGGCTTGAGCAAATGTGGTGCCGGTGGACAGAAAGCCTTCGGAGGAGTTAGCGAAATTCCAATGTGTGCGGATCGGCAAAAAATGCGGAATAACCCTTTAACCGTACATTTGACAGATATGCGCGCATTGACTTTTTCGTAGATCTTATTGAGTTACATGTGTGTGTCAATTTTTGTGTCATTTTGACAAAGCGTATAGGCGTGACACTCAACAATGTGTATTTTCACCTTAGGGGACAAGAAAAAATGGACTTTTTTCTCCTGCCATGGGGGGGCGCTCTTTTGGGGAGTAAAAATTCCTTCACAAATGTGTTGATGGCTGGACATTGCATCATCCTAGAAAACTTGGAGGCCAGTGAGGACAAAAATAAAAAGTTATAAGACTTTTAAATATGTGGATTTTAGTGTTATCTTTGGCGCCCCCTAGAACCTAAACCTTGGGGTGCAGCGTCATGATTTTGATAACTTTTAATGGCCACGGGGTGTAGATTGGCCTGAGCAAATGTGGTGCCGCTGGAACGAAAGCCTTCGGAGGAGTTAGCGAAATTCCAATGTGTGCAGATCGGCAAAAAATGCGAAATAACCCTTTAACCGTAATTTTGACAGATACGGCCGCACTGACTTTTTTGTAGATCTTATTGAGATACATGTGTGTGTCAATTTTTGTGTCATTTTGACAAAGCGTACAGTCGTGACAGTGAATAGTGTGAATTTTCACCTTAGGGGGCGCTATGGAGCCATTTTGCATTTTATTGTTTTGGCGACTTCAGAATATCAAATTTTTCACCAGGCCCGGTCGTCCTGCCAAATTTCATGAGTTTTCGCCAGTGGGAAGTGGGCCATTTTCCAGTTCAAAGGGGAGGAAAAAGAAAAAAGAAAGAAAGAAACAAAGAAAAACCTCTTGGGGAATAATAGGGCCTACGCCCGGCTGCTCTGCAGCTGGCTCGGGCCCTAACTAGGGCCCCGGTGGGGCACTGTCGGGCCCGAGCCGCGTTGCGCCGCCCCCAGCGCGACCGCCTCCCCCTCCCGATCGCGTCACACTCAAGGTCAAAAGATGGTGTGCGCACTTGTCTGTGGTCATTTCCCATTATAATGAATGGGAGGCGCAGTTTCTACCAAAACACTCGCTGCAGACAAACTACATGTCCTATTTGAAAAAAGTCTGGACCATGAGTGAGGGCACAAACACAGCTAGGATATATCCAAACGGCAAGTTGCTCCTTGTTACGGTGTTGCCGGGAGAGTGATGCGATTGAGCCATTGAGTGATGGGCAGGAAAAACTTGACTGTTTCTCCTGCCATGGGGGATGGGGGTTGGGGGATGGGGGGGGGGGGGGGGGATGTGGATTATTTTAATAATGTGGATATTTGGGTCATCTTTGGCGCCCCCAAGAACGTAAACCGTGGGGTGCAGCGTCATGATTTTTACAACTTTGAATGGCCATGGGGTGTAGATTGGCCTGAGCAAATTTGGTGTCAGTGGGACGAAAGCCTTAGGAGGAGTTAGCCACATTCCAATGTGTGCGAATCGGCAAAAAATGCAAAATAGCCCTTTAACCGTACATTTTACAGATACGCGCGCATTGACTTTTTCGTAGATCTTATTGAGATACATGTGATTGTCAAATTTTGTGTCAATATGACAAAGCGTACAGGTATGACAGTCAACAATGTGTTTTTTCACCTTATGGGACAAGAAAAAATGGACTTTTTTCTCCTGCCATGGGGGGGCGCTCTTTTGGGGAGTAAAAATTCCTTCACAAATGTGTTGATGGCTGGACATTGCATCATCCTAGAAAACTTGGAGGCCAGTGAGGACAAAAATAAAAAGTTATAAGACTTTGAAATATGTGGATTTTAGGGTTATCTTTGGCGCCCCCTAGAACCTAAACCGTGGGGTGCAGCGTCATGATTTGAATAACTTTTAATGGCCATGGGGTGTAGATTGGCCTGGGCAAATGTGGTGCCGGTGGAACGCCAGCCTTAGGAGGAGTTAGTGAAATTCCAATGTGTGCGGATCAGCAAAAAATGCAGAATAACCCTTTAACCGTACATTTGACAGATACGCGCGCATTGACTTTTTCGTAGATCTTATTGAGATACATGTGTGTGTCAAATTTTGTGTCAATATGACAAAGCGTACAGGCGTGACACTCAACAATGTGTATTTTCACCTTAGGGGACAAGAAAAAATGGACTTTTTTCTCCTGCCATGGGGGGGCGCTCTTTTGGGGATTAAAAATTCCTTCACAAATGTGTTGATGGCTGGACATTGCATCATCCTAGAAAACTTGGAGGCCAGTGAGGTCAAAAATAAAAAGTTATAAGACTTTTAAATATGTGGATTTTAGGGTTATCTTTGGCGCCCCCTAGAACCTAAACCGTGGGGTGCAGCGTCATGATTTGAATAACTTTTAATGGCCATGGGGTGTAGATTGGCCTGAGCAAATGTGGTGCTGGTGGAACGAAAGCCTTCGGAGGAGTTAGCGAAATTCCAATGTGTGCGGATCGGCAAAAAATGCGGAATAACCCTTTAACCGTACATTTGACAGATACGCCCGCACTGACTTTTTTGTAGATCTTATTGAGATACATGTGATTGTCAAATTTTGTGTCAATATGAAAAAACGTACAGGTATGACAGTCAACAATGTGTTTTTTCACCTTATGGGACAAGAAAAAATGGACTTTTTTCTCCTGCCATGGGGGGGCGCTCTTTTGGGGAGTAAAAATTCCTTCACAAATGTGTTGATGGCTGGACATTGCATCATTCTAGAAAACTTGGAGGCCAGTGAGGACAAAAATAAAAAGTTATAAGACTTTGAAATATGTGGATTTTAGGGTTATCTTTGGCGCCCCCTAGAACCTAAACCGTGGGGTGCAGCGTCATGATTTGAATAACTTTTAATGGCCATGGGGTGTAGATTGGCCTGAGCAAATGTGGTGCCGGTGGAACGCCAGCCTTAGGAGGAGTTAGCGAAATTCCAATGTGTGCGGATCAGCAAAAAATGCGGAATAACCCTTTAACCGTACATTTGACAGATACGCGCGCATTGACTTTTTCGTAGATCTTATTGAGATACATGTGTGTGTCAAATTTTGTGTCAATATGACAAAGCGTACAGGCGTGACACTCAACAATGTGTATTTTCACCTTAGGGGACAAGAAAAAATGGACTTTTTTCTCCTGCCATGGGGGGCGCTCTTTTGGGGTAAAAATTTCTTCACAAATGTGTTGATGGCTGGACATTGCATCATCCTAGAAAACTTGGAGGCCAGTGAGGACAAAAATAAAAAGTTATAAGACTTTTAAGAATGTGGATTTTAGGGTTATCTTTGGCGCCCCCTAGAACCTAAACCGTGGGGTGCAGCGTCATGATTTGAATAACTTTTAATGGCCATGGGGTGTAGATTGGCCTGAGCAAATGTGGTGCCGGTGGAACGAAAGCCTTCGGAGGAGTTAGCGAAATTCCAATGTGTGCGGATCAGCAAAAAATGCGAAATAACCCTTTAACCGTACATTTGACAGATACGCCCGCACTGACTTTTTTGTAGATCTTATTGAGATACATGTGTGTGTCAATTTTTGTGTCAATATGACAAAGCGTAAAGGCGTGACAGTCAATAGTGTGAATTTTCACCTTAGGGGGCGCTATGGAGCCATTTTGCATTTTCTTGTTTGGGCGACTTCGGAATATCAAATTTTTCACCAGGCCCGGTCATCCTGCCAAATTTCATGAGTTTTCGCCAGTGGGAAGTGGGCCATTTTCCAGTTCAAAGGGGAGGAAAAAGAAGAAAGAAAGAAACAAAGAAAAACCACTTGGGGAATAATAGGGCTCTCGCAGCTGCTTAGCAGCTACGCTCGGGCCCTAAAGAAGGAAACTACAGGAACAAGAGGGCTCTCGCAGCTGCTTAGCAGCTACGCTCGGGCCCTAAAGAAGAATCCATCAGGAATAATAGGGCTCTCGCAGCTGCTTAGCAGCTACGCTCGGGCCCTAAAAAAAAAACCACTACAGGAATAACAGGGCCTACGCCCGGCTGCTCTGCAGCTGGCTCGGGCCCTAAGAAACAAAGAAAAACCACTACAGGAATAACAGGGCCTACGCCCGGCTGCTCTGCAGCTGGCTCGGGCCCTAAAAACCACTTCAGGAATAATAGGGCTCTACGCCCGGCTGCTCTGCAGCTGGCTCGGGCCCTAAAGAAGAAGAAGAAAGAAGAATCCATCAGGAACAATAGGGCTCTCGCAGCTGCTTAGCAGCTACGCTCGGGCCCTAAAAAGATTTTTTTAATAGATAATCAGAAGAAAGAGAGCCCTACACATTAAGTACAGTAGATCTGATATATTGAAGGAAAGGTTCCAGATGACTTTATTACATAGGAAGTAAAATAAATGTTGAAAAGTTGTGTGTGAAAATAAAATAACAACTGGAGGTGGTAAATGGAGAAGAGATTTTTGCCAGATTTTTACAAATAAGAGAAGAACTGTTTTTTTTTTAATGTTTTTTTTTAACCTAAAGTTAAGCAATTATGTGACAGAAATTATTGTTTGATTTGATTTGTTAATTATTCAGCGAAGATGTTTAGATTCCTGTGCATTGTTTATGCTGGATTTTCCACAACAGAGAGAGGGGCTGTCCAGGAGCTGGCCCTGTGGTCCATTAAGGCGTGATTAAGTGGGTGATTAAGTGGGTAATCGACAAACAGTTCCAGCTTGATTTAGTTGATATGGGTGAATTCTCATCAGAAAATGACAACGTTCGGTACATGCTGATGTGTATCGATGTATTCTCTAAATATGCATGGGCGGGGCTTCTAAGAAACAAATCAGGACCCGCTGTCACATGTGCATTTAAAGATATTCTATGAGACAGACGCATTCCGACAAAAGTCCAAACGGATGCTGGTACTGAGTTTTATAATAAGGATTTTTAAAATTCTGCTGCATCAGTATAACATCATCCATTTTTCCACATCAAACGGGACCAAGGCCAGCGTAGTTGAACATTTTAACAGAACTTTCAAGACACATATGAGGAGATACCTGACATCCATCAACTCATGGTGATATATTGACATAGTCCAGGACCTTGTTGAAGCGTACAACAAAACTTATCACCGATTGATAAAAATGGCGCCTGCTGCCGCTAATAAAGGCAGCGAGAAAATAGTCTTCAACAACCTTGTAAGGATGCCTAGCCCAGGTTCACCGTTGAAAGAATGGAAGTTCCACACGAATAGTCAGTCTGACTAGCTTTACTGGTTGCAGATCTGGGTTACAGCTTCATCATGCCACAAGTGTAACAAAGAGTGGTCTAAGACCGCTCAAGTATATATAGCGGTCCACAACTCTAAACATACTGTTGATATTTAGTTGACCCTAAGAGAAATCCATGTACGGTAAAAACAGGGACAACATATTTTAAAAAACTTAGGTTAACAGGTGGGGGGTCCCAAGAAGGAAATACCATGGCATGGCATGACATATTTTGGGGATCTACATGATGTAAATAATGTGTACAGGGTTCTTCAGTCAGGGTTGGTTGTCGGAGGCTCGCGGCTCTAGCAATCTAACACCAAGGTATCTGAGGTATTTGAGTGACACAGCTCCAACACTCTAAAGGCTAATATGCCTGGCTAAAGAAACTCATCCGAACAGTCCTCACTTTTTTTTTTTTTTTCTGTATTTATTTTATTTATTTATTTATTTTTATTTATTTCACTCAAGCCAACAGTCCAGAAATAATTACAGCTGGAACAGATAATACATAAAACTGGTGACCAGAGTCACTTAAAACAAAAGGGTGGGTTGAATAATAATAATAATAATAACTTTATTTATATAGCACCTTTAAAAACAGAAGTTTACAAAGTGCTTTGACAACAGTTGCAAGCACAGAACATCAGTACATGAAAATAAAAACAAATAAAAACAAAAGCTCAGTTAAAAACAGGCTTCTGAATTGTAGGCCTGTTTCATTTTTTGTAAGAAACCCGTAAGAAACCCAGGCAATACAAGAACCCTACAAAATAAATGGGACCATGAGGACCAAAATAAAAACATAAAATGAAATAGAAAGGGAGGGCAGGGAACAGGCTAGTAAGTATTTTAAAAAAAAAAAAAAAAAGATAAGAGACAGTAAAAGATGGCATCACATAAAAGCAAGTCTGTAAAAGTGAGTTTTTAAAATTGGCTTAAAAGAAGCGACTGTCTCTGCACGCCTTATCTCCTCTGGCAGGTTGTTCCAAAGTCGAGGAGCTCTGATGGAGAAAGCTCTATCACCTTTAGTTTTGAGCCTCGACTTTGGGACAACTAGGAGGCCTTCGCCAGAGGATCTGAGGCTGCGAGTTGGCTCATAAGGTATTAAAAGCTCTGAAATGTAGCTCGGAGCAAGTCCTTTGAGAGCTTTAAAAGTAATCAATAAAATCAATTCTGAAACTGACAGGAAGCCAGTGAAGGGAGGCTAAAATTGGAGTGATGTGATGCCGTCGACTAAAACCAGTTAAAAGCCTAGCTGCTGCATTCTGAACTAGTTGGAGGCGAGAGAGTGATTTCTTGTTTAAACCAGGGAGGAGAGAGTTACAATAGTCCAGTCTTGAGAAAATGAAGGCGTGGATTATCTTTTCGAGATCTGGTGGGGTGAGTATTTGTTTAATCTTTGAAATGGAGCGCAGGTGAAGGAAACAGGACTGGACAATCTTGTTGATTTGGGTGGAGAAGGTGAGGTCTGAATCGAAGGTTACTCCCAGATTTCTGGCTGTTGGTTTGATGATTACTGAATACGGACCGAGACAAGACTGAATGAGGGGGGAGTTTTGTATGTTACAGAGAATTATTTCAGATTTTGAATAATTTAGCTGAAGGAAATTTTGTGCCATCCAACAGTTAATGTCACTTAGACAGTCCATGACAGCAGCTAGGCCTCTTGGGTCCTCAGGTCTCAAAGGAAGGTATATCTGTGTGTTGTCTGCATAGCAGTGAAAGGAGACTTTGTGGCGCTGAATTAATTGGCCAAGGGGCAGCATGTAGATAGAAAATAAAATTGGACCTAAAACTGAACCTTGCAGTACACCACAGGCGATAGCAGAAGTAGAGGAGGTGTGATTGCCTATGGTGATCGCAAAGGTTCGTTCTAAAAGATATGACTGAAACCAGCTAAGTGCAGTGCCCCTGATACCCACCCAGTTTTTAAGACGCTCAATTAAAATAGTATGATCAACTGTATCAAAAGCTGCACTGAGATCTAAAAGAATTAAAATTGAGCCCTCCCCTCTATCTGCTGCTAAAAGAAGGTCATTGGTCACATGGAGGAGGGCAGTCTCAGTGCTGTGACCTGCTCTAAAACCAGACTGAAATTTATCAAAGAGGTTATTTTCAGACATAAAACCTAAAAGCTGTTTAGAAACCACCTTCTCTAAAAGTTTGGATAAAAATGGAAGTCTTGAAATTGGTCTAAAATTGTTAAAATCAGAGGGATCAAGGTTTGGCTTCTTTAAAAGGGGTTGGACCACAGCATGTTTAAAAGCAGAGGGAAATACTCCCTCCACTAGAGAGCTATTAATGATGGATAAAATGCTGGGCCCAACCACGTTAAAAACCTCTTTGAGAAATCTGGTGGGGATAGAATCAAGACTGCACGTAGCTGGTTTCATTTTGTCTAAAATATCAGATAAAAATTTTAAGGACAGCGGCTCAAAAACTACTAAAATAGTGCCTAACTTCCCGACTTAAGAGTACAGGGAGACTGGGAGGGGTGATTTGATGTCTGATGTCCATAACCTTGTTAATAAAATGAATTAAAAACTTCTTGCAGGTTTCTTGAGAAGCATCAGTAAAATAAGAGGGGGAAGGGTTGGAAAGAGACTCTAAAACCTTAAATAAAACTCTGGGGTTTGAATAATTAGCTAAAATCAAATTTGAGTAAAATGCTGCCCTTGCATCCTTAACTGCCTTCTGGTAGTTTTTCAAGGAGTCTCTCCAAATTTCGAGGAAAACCACCAACCCAGTTTTCTTCAATTTGCGTTCGTTTCTTCTACAGATTCTCTTTAGTTCATGGGTGGACTCTGTGAGCCAGGGTTGAGGTTCTTTGTTAGATCTTTTCTTTTTCAGAGGACCTACAGAGTCCAGGATGGTTCCACACGTACTGTTAAAAAGAGAGACAAGCTCTTCAGTGTTAAAAACTGGATTAAAATCTGGGTTGAGGGCAGTTAAAGATGCAGCAATAAAAAGCTCTGAAAACTTGCTAGCAGACGATGCATTAAAAACCCTTCTAAAAACAGGAGTGTGATCGGTAAAAGAAGGCTGGGATAAAACCATGGAGAATTAAAACCAGTTTGTGATCTGACACACAGATATCCTTAGTTAAAAACTCCCCAGGACTAAGTCCAGTAAATAAAACCAAATCTAAGCAGTGTCCCTTTACATGAGTTGGTTCCTGTATTGCCTGGGTAAGATTAAAGGAGTCCAGAGTTTCAATAAAATCAACAGTTAAGGGTTGTGAGGGACAGCAGACATGTACATTAAAATCACCCAAAATAAGAATTTTGTCATATTTACAAATAAAAAGGGATAGAAACTCTGAAAACTCCTGAATAAAAACAGCGTTGTGTTTGGGTGGTCGATAAATGATTACGATTAAAACAAGTTCTTTCAATTTAACAATAAAAGCAAGGTGCTCAAATGAACTAAAAGTGCTGAAGGTGATGGGGGATGCATTTAAAATCCTTCTTGTATATGACAGCCCCCCCCCCCCGGCCTGACTGCCGGGGCTGATGGAGGTGAGTAAAATCAAATCAGGGGGGGGTGGCTTCTATAAGAGAAATACAATTGTCCGGAGTCAGCCAGGTTTCACTCAGAATAAAAAAGTCCAGACTGTTTTGTGAAATAAAATCATGGCATAAAAATGTTTTGTTGTTGAGGGATCTGATGTTTAAAAGTCCAAAGTTTGCAGGTTTGCTGTTAAAAGCAGGGCGGGGTAGCCGAGGAAGCAGGGGGACGTGGATGAGATTGGTGGGGGGACAAAGTCTGGCAGGAGGACGGGGAGGACGTGAGGATGTGATGTAGACTGGAATCACAGATTTACTGATAGTACTAGTGGGGGGGGGGGGGGGGAGTGGGTGTGGAAAGATGGGCTGCTGAGTGCAGACTGTCAGACGGGTGAGGAGTGGATCATATACACGATGTTGTAAGAGAGCATTCGGCTACCCCGCCTGTTGGGGTGGATCCCATCATGACTGAAAAGTGATGCTCGGTCCCTTAACAGATTAAAATTGTCAATAAAACCGAAGTTGTGGGTGGGGCATGTGGATTGGAGCCAGGTATGGAGGCTGAGGATCCTGCTAAAATGTTCTGCTCCACGACCGAGAGTGGGGATTGGCCAGAGATAAAAACTGTCTTTCCAGTGTCCTTTAAAACGTTAAAAAGCAAGTTAAAATCCCTCTTTGTGATTTCGGACTGCTTAAGGGACGTGTTGTTTGAGCCAACATGGAGCACAATCTTAGTGACAGAGAGGGGAGAGAGGGGAGTAGATTAAGAAGTTTGTCCAGGATGACAGGTACCGTGGCGCCGGGAAAACTGTGTAAGTAAGTAAGTAAGTAAACTTTATTTATACAGCGCCTTTCACAGACCAAGGTCACAAAGCGCTTTACAGTAAAAGCAAAAAGCAAAAACAATACACAGTTAATAAATACATACAAAGCTAAAATTTAAAAGGCCAAAAACAACACTATAGCAACCATAGCAGCCCCAAGACAGTTAGGGAAAAGCCTGAACAAATAGAAAAGTCTTTAGTTCCCTTTTGAAGGAGTCAACAGACTCCATCGAGCGCAGAGCAGGCGGAAGATTGTTCCATAGCTTGGGAGCAACAGCCTGGAAGGATCGGTCTCCTCTGGTCCGGAAATGAGTATGAGGCACCATCAGAAGATTCTGACCCACAGACCTCAGAACCCGGGCTGGGGTGTAAGGCTGGATCAGGTCATTGATGTAAGATGGAGCCTGACCATGCAAGGCTCTGAAAGTTAAAACCAGAATTTTAAAATTTATCCTAAAAGAAACAGGCAGCCAATGAAGGGTTTAAGAATCGGGGATATGTGTGACCTCCTATTGGAGTGGGTCAGAATTCTCGCTGCAGTGAGTGATGGCATTAAAAAATCTGATGTACCTGGTTATGGAGTCTCCGATGATGAGCGTGGTCGGGGGAAAAAGGGGACAAGGAGCTGATGTGCACGCGCTGAAGCCTTCAGATGTTGGGCGCTCCACCTGTGCAGGGGACGGTGATTGTCGGCAGTGAGCGGATGCAGGTGGAGTGAGGGTGTTGCCGGCCCGGGGGAGCCTCTCCGAGCGCCTGGAGACGGCCTCCTTCAGCAGCCTGCGACGCAGTATCCCGGTCAAGGAGGGCCGCGGTGCCAGGTCAGTGTTGGACATCTGCAGAGCCGCCTCTGCTGGAGCTGGGTCCGACAGAAGAGGTGGAGCCGGAGCACCGACTGGGTCAGCGGGAGCCTCATCCCTCAGGGCCAAGAAGTGGTTGGAGAGGGAGAGCCATGGTGGTGAAGGGACTCTCTCTGCTGCGGTCGTCCTCAGTCTGCGTTGTGCCACCTCGAGCCAGGTTTGCTGCCCCTTCAGCTTTGGGGTCGAGCTGTAGGTAGAGAGCGCTGGGAGCCCCGCTACCATGCCAGTATCAGGATCGTCCAGCAGTCTCAGACCCTGACTGTACCGATGCGCGGGAGGAGAGGTGGAAAGACAGCCTGCCGGCTTTGCGCTGTGCAGCACGGGTGAGCAGGCTGGACCCCCGGCTGCAGGGCCCAGGGCCGGCCCGTTCGGAGAATGCAGGGAGGCCATCCAGGGCAGAGTGGCAGCAGAGGCCGAAACCAGCTGTGGTGCCAGAGCTGAGGGCGAAAGACCGGTGATCCTGGAGGCCTGACTCAGGGATATATGTTAGGCTTGAGCTGAAGCTACGGATATGAAGCCCTCCAGCAGCCTATCCTTCTCACGGAGATCGTTTTGCAGACGACAAAGCTTCTCTTCCAACCGTGAGTTTTTTATTTTGCAGTCCGCACACACAGCCATTTAAAATTCCCACTCTTCCGGGTCCCGCACAGAGTTCCGTGCGTAATGCAGCAAACAGAAGAAGGGTTGGCCACACCAAACCAGCCCACAAAGGGCCGAAGGATTTGAGGCTGCCCTCTACCCTAGACCGACGACTGAACCACCTAAACCCTACAAAACTCTACAAAACCATGAACAAAAGCCGCGAAAACAGAACTCGTCAACCCCCCTGAAGATAAACTGGACTAACCCTATACCCTATGGAGCCGTGACACTCAATGGTTCAATATGAAATTCACTGGTTTCATGCCTCCCCATCCTTGAATTCTTCCGATGACTCAGATGACGAGGAGGAGGAGAGCCAAGGTCCCTGTACGGAGGGGGAAGGGATAAAGTCCTTCTCCATCAGGACTGTCGTCTGCACAAAAGACGTACTGACCATAGAACAAACAGATTTCATGATTAGTGCACAAAAAATGGGAAAGAATAATGATTATAACTGGACCTGCAAGGCCTATAATCCAGGTATAAAGGGAGTTACCTCCAAATTAGGCGGAGATACGTACAACAGCCTTCTCCTACAATGGCACACACACACCCCCGAGATGCCGTCAATGTATCCAAAGCAATGCGATTGTCCGTAACAAAACAAGGATCAAGTCCAACTCAGCATATATGGAATGAACACCCCTTTATGTGGCATTCGCCATTAATGCCAAGTCATGCCTAGTAAACGCTATGAGATAATGATTTGTATATTGCAATTCAGTGTTCCAAAATAGGGAACTAAAAACCAATTGTGAATGTGTATATATCTGAAAATCATCCCACAATGCATAATAACGTTTGGCCAAGTCAGTAGGGTCCAATCCTTCAAATGGATATAGCCAGTTACTTACAACTCTCTACAACTCTCTCCTAGATCTTGTGGAGTTGAAGTGTTGTGGTATTCAATTGGTGTGCGTATTCAATGGGCTCCACAATGTAGGTTACGTCATGTAGCATGCATAGACCACACCTACCCCGGAAGCGGGGAGGGAGACTACTCCAAACATTATTACCACAACACCAATAAAAGCCATATGTATATGGAGTGCCCATCAGAGCTAATTGGGCGTAATTATATGCGAGTTAATAATAGAACGTGTTGAAGTTATCCAAACTTCCCTGAGTCCATTGATGGAGACTGGAACAGAGGATTCATGAGGCAAAAAGGTGTCTTCAACCAACCTTTTATTTCGGCACAGCAAATAATACAAGATATCTTGGAGAGCACAACGTCAACCCAATGGTATCTCTGAGGTGGTCTGAATACTATTTTTCAGTAGTTAACATTTATACATCTGAGGCGTCTCATCATCTTTATGGGCGGAGAGTTTACATAACCAGCAGTTGCCAGTGTTTCTCTACGGACAAACAAGCACGTATTCTTCTGTTTTTTTACCTGACCAAAACCGTGGTTACGGGGAAGTTGACCTTGGATGCACACAGTGCCTGTCTCCTTTTTATCTTATTTGCGTCATGTATTCCGTGCTTTCACTGAGTTCCCACTGAGCAGACTGCTGGGCATGCAAACCCTCCCTTTACACCTCCACATCTTCTCAGGACAGAGTGATCTTCCTCCCTCACCCTGTTGTTCACATTTCTGAGTTACACCTGCACATCTGTTATGAAAGGCACATCATTATCGAAGGCATATGTCAAGGTCATAGACACGTGATGATTATAAGGAACACTTGTAATGAATGACTGTTAAGGCATCATAGCAGAATAGTTTAAAACCATACTTACCAACACTTGGCACTTTCTTTCACTCTTTCTTTGCTGAGAGTCTCTCTTCTGTACATTGTGACACAGTGATCATTTGCCCCTGTGTTAGCTTTAAACTTTCTTATCAGTACATGTCCGCAATGAGCACACAAAATAATGTAAACACAATAAGAAAACAGTTAATTACCTGAAACAATGGCTAAATGATTGGCATGATATATTATATTATCACCTGAAACAATGACTAAATGATTGGTATGGTATATGAGTTCCCACAAACGACACTGGCTAACTTTCAAAAAACCCATATTCTGACCACTATCAGTTAGGGATCGACCCTCTAGACAAACATCAAAGATGTCGGATGAATTCACCGCTGTGGAGGATTGATGAGGGGTAATGGACAAGTCTGAGGTTATGTTTAAAAGATATTTATTATAAAAACCGGGACACATTAGCAAGGATGGATGATTTTTTTAGGTACATTAAATGATGTGGCATGTACATGGAAAATATCTTTTCCATTTTCTTGACTGATAGAAATATTGGAGTATATAACATACTTTACAACCTTGTAAAGAAAGTTATTGATTTTCTGCACTGACTGTGTTGTTTTACCTAAATGGATTTTAGTAGGTCTAATAACAGGTCGAAACGCAGAAGAGTTAATGTCATGTGTTCTGGTTTCGGGATGCATTTGTATGACATACTGATATGCCAGGGTACACCACGACGGAAGTCCTTTGGGACCTGTGAGTGATTTGGCTACCAGTACGAAGAGATCTTGAGTAGATACAGGGAGCAGTGAACAAGCATAACAGGAGTTTCTTGCGAAAGTTCTAACCCGCTTCTTAAGTGATTGGTACCATAATTTTGATTCAAAAAGATTCTTATCATCCAAATGTAGCACTAACTTTTTATATTTAAGATCCTAAATATTGTCTTCAATATTTGATAGTTGGTTTGCATCTGTTTCTTTTTGCGAGGGCCATGTAATTACCTGTGAATCGTTAGCACCATAGACAGAGGTTTGGTCTCCATTTTTATCAAATTTTATAGTTTTAGCTATCCAATACCGGGCACAAACCCCTTGCCAATAAGGGGGAATATATGTTTGAAGATGTTCCCTACACATCCAAACCACATGGTCTAGTGCTGGGAAAGGGTTAGATGCCATTATATACAATCTGCGGGGACATCCTCGGATTGACCCGAGGATGTAATCTGTCTTAGAACCAGTTACAGGAGAAACACAAACCGACAGTGGGGGATGAGATGCTTTAAGAATTAAAGGTTTAAAATCCTCATACATATCATAATCTAAATGTACATAAAAATTAGGCACCATAGATTTCCATAAATCATTACAAAAATCAACTGTGGGATACGATGTCATGGTATGAATAGGGAAGCAGCCGATGGGTGCACCGCTGGCGGAGCTGCTTTGAGCCGCGTCACGTGTATCCATTGTGGCTGGCCCTTAACCTTGACTGCAGTGCCCATGGGGAGGAGGACTTGAACCGCAGGTCCGTATCATGGGTCCTTCCCAGTGGGATTCAGGCTGCGGACCAGAACGTAGTCGCCAGGAGAAAAGTTATGAATCTTTTTTTCTGAGGGCGACGGGATGGAGTTTATCACCTGCTGAGAATACTTGGCGACAAAAGAGAACAAAAGTTTTACATACTCCTGTTGGGCTTCCTGTAAGCAGGTCAAATTCATGGCAGAGTCTTTAGGGACTTGAAGACATAAAGGAAAAGGCTGACCCATCAAAACTTCATGGGGAGACAAGCATAGACTGTATTTACTATGGACAACCTGGTTCCGCCTACCACCTGTATACGGATTTGAAGCCAAAAAGCTCTCGGTATTTCCAGGATTTTTCTTAATTTCCTGAAACCAGCGTTGTGCGCATTCGGCCGCGCAATCGCAGAGAGTCACTGTGATGACGCTCGGCTCAAACAACGTATCCCTCGGGAGAGCTACTCAATCCCTGAACGCCCATAGGCTGTATCAGGTGTCAATCATAGCAAAAATGAACCCCCTAATAACTTTTAAAAACAGAGCTTCACAGAAAAAAGAGGACTTGAGCACAAACCAGTCTTACAATAACTACATGTCAACATCGCAAGGGGGGGGGGAGAAAAATGTATGTTCTGTGTAATAAATTTCTAAAGTTGGTGGAAATGTGGAAATTCCTCCATGTCAGTAGGTTCAATTACTTTATCAGAAAAGGGCACATTGACGGATTTTAAATGTATGATCAACGCCGCACTAGCAGCCTGACAAGATGCCAATTTTTTGATAGTCATCAAAGTAAACAGGTCAGAGATAAAATTAGTTTGTCAATACACTGGTGGCATTATGTGACACTCCAACAAGAGGGGAGAATAATTGATATGTCTTGTCTGCTGGAATGTAAACCTCAATGCCATCGGGTGAACTTGTAATGACTGCATTTAATTTACTTAATATATCTCGTCCCAGTAAGGACATCGGTGTTGTAGCACTAACAACAAATGAATGTTGCAGTTTGATGTCATCCAGATTAACAGGCAGCAGAACGGACAAGGGCTCTAGTTGTGGGACTCCAGAGATACCGACAGATTGAACAGAGAAATTACTCAAAGGGCAACTTAAGTCCTTTTTTCTTAAACATGATGTAGTTGCCCCAGTGTCAACTAGAAATTTAATAGGTTTACCAGAAACTTGCATACTCAATTGAGGTGTCTCAGCTGGTTCATTGGAAACATGGAATTGTGGAGTATTTATAATTATTGTAGAGTAATCAAGTCTGTTCACGCCCCACAACTGTCGGTTATATCATTGCTTCCACAATAAAGAAAAAGCCGCCTCTCTGTCCGGAGGACCCTGGGTTGTGGGATTACTTCCAGATATCATCCTCTGTGTATTGGTCTGTGGAGAGAAACCAGAGGTCATATGAGGAGGATAATAGGGAGGCATTTGATTTATAGGCCCATATTGTGAACCATGGGCCCTTTTTAAGGGACACTGTTTTACCCAAT